AGTGTACCTCTGGTGCAAATTACTGACCTCTGTCATCATTTTAAGTGGGGGAACTTGCACAATCGGTGGCTGACTAAATACTTTTTTGCCCCACTGTACCTACTGGGGAAACGTTTTATGGTCAGACGATACAAAGACCGAGTTATTTGCCAACAATGACGAGAGATATATTTGGAAGAGCAAAGCGAGGCTTTCAAACCTAAGAACATTGCACTGGGTGGTGGTAGCATTATGCTCTGGAGCTATTTTGCTGACAGTGGTACACTGCATAAAGAGGATGATATAATGAAGGAGTAGGACTACCACCCACTTCTTGAACTTCACCTCAGATCTGCAGCTACGTGATTGACTCTTGTAAACAACAGGATGTTCCACAAAACAATGATCCCAACCATGCATCAAAGCTGGTTGTTCAATGGATAAAAAGCTTATTCCATTTGGGGCAGCAATTTATCCCTGCAATGAGTAGACACTCCACCCTTTTGTAACTGAGAACCATGGCCCAAGACTTTGAATCGCTGCAGTGTGAGCTGGAGGCCACCACCTGATGAAGCCAACAGCACCACATCACTTGCAAAAAGCAGACATGAGATTCTGAAGGCACCATAGCATCTATGTCAGGGTTGTGGGAGGGCTAAAGCCCATCCCGGCTGTCTAAAGGTGAGAGGCAGGGTGCACTCTGGACAGGTTGCCAGTCTGTTGCAGGGCTAACACATAGACACAGACAACCATTCACACCTATGGGCAATTTAGAGTTACCAATTAACCTATCCCCACTTTGGACTGTGGGAGGAAGCCGGAGTACCCGGGAAAACCCACACAAACACGGGGAAGAAACATGCAAACTCCACACAGAAAGCTCCCGGCCTGATAGTAGAACCGAACTCACGACCTTCTGTGAGGCAACAGTGCTAACCACTATGCCACCGTACTGCCCAAGCCACCAAAGCAGAAACCTTCAAACACCTTGCTGTGCCTAAAGATTCTGTCCATAAAAACTATGAACAGAATCAGTGACAAAGGGGAGCAATGGTTATACAGAGAACAAATGGCTCAAAGCATCGGGCCGGACACCCCATACTCCCAAAGAACCCCCCACAGGACACTCCGAGGGATGTGGTTGAATGCTTTCTCCAAGTCCACAGAACATATGTGAACTGAATGTGCAAACTGCCATTCACCCTCAAATATCCTTGAGAGGATAAAGAGTTGGTGCCTAGTTCTGCAGGGTTCCAGGCTGCTGCAAGGAGCATGGTGGTTGGTAGCTGTTGAGGTGGTTATCCCCAAAACAGATGGGGGACCACATTCAACATAAACTCCAACTCATGTACCCAGTCCTTGAGTTTTACATTTATTCAATACTTCTGACCAAACTGTAGAAACCATGTGGAGGGCAGAGAGTGTACATATTATCACATATTGCAACACAATGAAGGGAGCTCAATGCCACCTATGATTTAATTTAATACTTCTGAATCTAATTCTAAGTCTTTTTTGTGGGTAGTCTGACTGACCTTGCCTAAAGAAGTTAACATTTTGAAGTCAATTGTCCTTCGATGCCGAAGAATCCGCAGGATCCCGTCCAGATACACCTGATCTTTGCTGAAGCAACCTAAGACAGAAATATACAAAAATAATAATCAAAGTTACAGATTACAGTTTTGAGTTCACTTTGATTTGCTCATTTAAAGGTCAGCTGACACTTCTGATTGTTTAGCTCTTTAATTTAGCGAGATTAACAGAAGAGCTTGTAAAATGATGCTTACAGGATTTAAATAGACTCTAACTTTTCAATTACGATTATTTGTCATGTTGCACAATTAAATATTTTTTTCCAATTCAATTCAATTTTGTTTATATAGCACCAAACCACAACAGTTGCCTCAACGTACTTATATTGTAAGGTGAAGACTTAGCGTCACTCTGAGACAGGATGTTTCTCATTTTAGAGATATTCCATAAAATGGAAGAAAGCAGTTACATATTTGTTTGATACACACCATCCCATCCATCCATTCACTTCCGCTTATCCTTTTCAGTGTCGCGGGGGGCACACACTTGAGAAAATATCCTGGTCAGAAAGAACTCCAAGAGTTCTAAGATTTTCTAAGTTTTTTTTAAGTAAAATCTTAGAAAAACTTGTTTTTACTCAGATTACTGATTTTCTAAATGATAGACAGATCCTGGAGATATTCCAGTCTGGATTTAGGGTGAACCACAGCACAGAGACGGCTCTCCTAAAGGTTTTAAATGATCTTAGATGTAACTGGGAC